TTTTTATTTTCTTCAGAAATTCAAGACTTTAAAGAAGATTATCATTGACTTTTGAAACTCTTTTTTTATTTTCTTCAGAAATTCAAGACTTTAAAGAAGATTATCATTGACTTTTGAAACTCTTTTTTTATTTTCTTCAAGTTTCTCTCCTATTTTCTCAAGTGTATATACTTTTTTCTGATTTTTTGAAGGAATTTTGCCTATCTCAATTTGATCCTAAATTTTTGGTTATATCAGAACTTCTGAATGATAATTGGCTAGAAATTTGAACTGGTTGATCTACATATAGCAAAAAATATAAACAAAATACATAACTCTCATGTATCTCATTTCATACAATAATAAATTTAATAATGCCATTGGATATAATAAAAAGAGCAAAGTGACAAGACATCTATTTTATTAGAATGTATTATAGTGTTTTTCCTCTCCTCTTGGACTGGTTTTTTTTCTTTAAAATTAAAAAAAGTTTTATTTCAATTCAGTAACAAGCTTTCTTTGTTATTCATTATCCTGAGAAGACATTAAGCAATAATTTCTTAAGGTATAAGTCTTGTTTCAAGCAATAATTCTTTAAGGATATAGGACTTGTTATAAGTACTTTGAATATTCTTGGTTAGCAATGAAATAATAGAAATTAAATACTACAGGTGGCGATAAAGAATTTATTCTAATGGATTGAAGTTAATATTGGAGAGTTTTTATTTATCAAAACAAACTTTTCAATTACCTTTTCTATTTTTTTTTAATTTTTTAAATAATAATTTTTTTTTATTTCTTAAGACCACAGGTTTATATTAAAGTAACAGTCTGAATGCAAGCTAGTTTTGATCTTTTAAGATATAGACTTTGATGTCTTGTCTTAAAAAGAATCAATTTCTATTATTTCTTATAATCATATCTAGAGGGTTCAGATTTAAAAAGTCTAGAATAGTAAATATTACACAATAATAGCTTAATGAAACTACTCTTTTGTAGTAAGATAATTAGTAAATAGTTAAATTATGTAGACAACACAGTGGTTTTGATATTAAGGATTCAAGGATCATGTACAAATCTAAACTTATTGATGGGTGTTTTGCAAAATTGTGTCAGCTTAGCTTTAGTATAATATCATGTATATTGTATCACTGTTCTTTAGAATTTAGATTAATAAATACTTTCATTTGCAGTTTGATTAGAGGTAAAAAAAAACAATAAATTGAATTAGTTTTGATTTGGTTTATAAAAAGTTAAAACTAACAGTTTTCAGATCTGATTGGTTTATAAAAAATTGAAATCGACAGTTTTTGAATCTGATTGATTTAAAAAAATAAATCAGATAAGTTTTGGTTTTAGTTAAAACTGATTTAAACTGAACTGTTGTGATTCCTACTTATAGATTATTAAAAATAATTCACATCCTTCTAGAGCATTTAAATCACTAAGCACAGTATAGATTCCATGATATAATTATAGATTAAAATTGTTACAAATAATCAGATATCACTTTTGTATAAATTTTATGGTTACTATCAAAATATAATGGTATAATAGTAAGTCTGTTACTAATTTTAGCAGAAATTTATGTAATTGTTCTTAGGTAAATAAGTGAAAGAGTGATTTGAGGTGTTTTGTATTTAATCAAGTTTTTATTAATTTTTTTTATTAATTTTTTACTATTTTTTTTTTATTTCTATGCTTTTATATATTATTTATATTTTTTTTTACATTTGACTATAATGATTTGAGCATAAAATAATAAGCACTAATATAATGACATGACTAACACCAGATTACATAATTCTTTTTTTCAATTCTTCTTGTTCTTCCTTTATTACCCAATTATCACAGCTGTATCATGACAATTGGTCATGTGACTAATGTCATATTTTATTTTTTCCTGTTACAATATGTATACAGCCATAACATTTCTATATTTACAAAAAGGAAATAAAGTTTTAATCACATGATTTTTGAACCAAAATCAATGAAGTTCAATAAAAATTTGACTCTGCTCTCTAAGCATCCTTCAATAGAGAAAACAGAATATATAGTTCACAAGTACTATTATATAACATTTATTTCTAGCATTCTCTAGTTTCCATTTGAAGTAAATTCTATATAAAATATTATTCTATAAAAATATAATATTCTTTTACTTTCTATTGGTGTCCAGCCATTCTGGAGTAGTGAGGATGTTAGCTTGTGTCTTTGTGTTGTCCTTATTTGGGTAATTATTTTGGAAGGCAACAAAAATGCTAGATATGATTTTTTCGGACCCAACTTTTAAACAATACATATATAGTATAGATTTAAGGATCACGCCAGAAAATTTCCGGTTCGCCTTCGAAAATAATTACCCATTTGAAGATTGTTCACTTTTAGAACAAAAACATCACGATACAGTTAATAATTAAAACCAGCATGCTTATTTTATTTGACTTTACCGAATCTCTACAATTAAAATCTAATCGGCATAGATGCATGCATTTAACACTTCAGAAAATATGCCTTTTATGGTTTTTAAAATCGTTTTTCTTATTTTCATTCCCCAAAAGATTAACCATGATATCTCCAACTCATCATGATAAAAAAAAACAATTACTGTAATAATAATCAATATTCCACCTGTTGTAAACCTGAATTTTCGTGTAATCCAATTCACGTATACAGTATATATATACTGTATATTCGGTGATTTAATTTTCTAATAAATACATTTTAGCTCGATAATTGTTCTTTTTTTTTTTTAAATGTCTTTACTCACAAAATCTTAAGGAACGCGAAGAATAATCAGAAACTTTCTTAAAGCCCAGAATCACATCAATACTCAAGCAAATAAATTTACGGGTGATGATTGAGAGTGAAATTTCGACCAGCATATGAAGATCACGCTATTCTTACTGAGAAAGTCGAGGGATTCTCAGAACAGTACGTTTGCCCCAAGATAAATAGAGACATGCTCCACAAAGAAGAATTCAAAGTTCGAGAAATGATTGTTCTTTCGGATAGACGCGCTCAAACATTCTTTGAGAAACTGCATATCGTCACGAGAAACCCACCAGGAATATCCGAGTTCTGCACTGACGATTTGGCTGATGATCTGCTTCGTGTTGAATGATGATATCGTAAGTAATTTGAGAAAGTATTATCTTATTTAATGGCTTCCTAAGTTTTTCTTTTTTCAAATCAGACTGCGATCACCAAATAAACTACATATTATCAATGAGCCTTATGTCTCGGCATATCCAAAATTTGTGGATAAAAAAAGAAAGGACAATTATGGTTATTGCAGAAGTATGTTTTTTATTATTATTATTATTTGGCAAAGCAATATCTTGATTATTTAAATAGGTTTTGACAGACAAAAGCTTACGAAATGTCAATCCTATAAATGATTATAGAGAAACACAAATTGCTGCCGAAATACTTGCTTGTGCAGATAAAAATATACGTGAGACTGGCGATGTCTCCGATCAGTTCTTGTTTTCTGCTCGTTTTATCTCTAACTATATCACATTTTACAAGACCGATATTCCTGCTGAATATTGGAAAGAGCTTGCTAAAGGTTTACCAAAAGATGGCCTGGAGAAAATAATAGGAAAAGTGGTCTTGATCTTACAGATCCCGAAGTAGGTGTGCCATTCACAATAGCTTGATGCGATTAATTTAGCTATATATTTCAATACTATTCTTGTCATGAATGTTGCTACATACATATAAAAGTAATCACTTTGTTCACACATATCTATACTTTGCAAAATTTGCTTATGATCTTGACTGTTTGAAGTTGGTTAACGTACTCATGGACATAATCATAATCTGGCTCGGAGAAACGCAATTATGGGCGTAATAAATAATCCTTTGAATATACTGTATTCGTCCGTAGCTTAAGTAAAACAATGATAAACCAACAATCAGTATTGAAAGAATTAAATTCGAAACACTTAGTCGGGATTACTAATCTTATAAAGGAGAGTGTCGAAATTCCCGAACTTCGAAAGAAATATGCAGAGATCGAGGCTGGAAACGTATAGTTAAGACAGGTCATAGAAGAGAGCAATGAGCTTAAAACCAGGTTTGAAGAGTTGGAGAAAAAAGATAAAACGGATCCTGCCAAGCTCACTGCCGAGAATACCTAGCTTAAAGATTGAGTCACAAAATTGAAACAGAAGCAGACTCAAGTCATTACTAATGTACCGAAAGCATCTTCACAAAAGATATTCCGCAACCTATCGACTCAAGGGTGAGGGCACTAATGTGCCTGAAGAAACGATTGTTCCTGATCCTTCACCTGAAATAGAACATAGCCCGACAAAATCTGAACCTTTAACGGAACTTGAAGAATAGATTCGATGTTCTGCATCACCCTCTGTGATCTCTTTTTCACAAGATGATAAATCTAAACAAATGTCAGAAAACGCACCTGATATATCCGATATCACTTGAAATTCAGGCTTATGTCAGAAATTGAAGACTTATAAATTATTGGAAGATAAGGTAATCTGTATGAGGTGCATAAATAAAAGATAAGTAATGTAATAAGAGAAAGAAATTGAGAAAAAAAGCTTAATTTATTGAAACATTCGATTTAATCTATTTATTATAAGTATTCCTGAGGGTTAGTATTTTAGACTTTTATTTATTGCTATTTCGTGATGATTAATAGTTATAATGTTGGTTTCCCAATACTATATCAGTTGTAAAGCAATGACTCAAAGAGCCATAAAATTTAATAAAGTATATTCCGATTTGATTCGGCAATTACCTCCATCACTGATACAGGAAGCTTGGATAGATATTGTCATGGGTAAAATCGACACGTTACGTCACCTTGTTGTCGTAATCTGTGGGGAAATTAAGGTGGGAAAATTAGTGTGGGAAAGTTTAATGACGGAAATTTCCAGAGTAGCGTGAATAGTAAACAGATGTAAACATGTAAATAATAGGCGCATGTATAAATACATGTAGACGAATTTTGGAGAAGTTTAGTTTAGTAATGCATTAAGTAATAAACAATAAAGTAACGTTTAAGTATAAACTCTTGTGTTTTGTGTGCCATAGGAGACTTGTAACTCGTGCTACGCGACTAAGCGAGAAAATCGAGGATTGTCTAAGGAAATTGGCATAGGAAGGGTTCTAGATTAGTCGGTAGAAAAGTTAAAGTATGAGACCGGCCAAATCGAAAACACGCCTCGAGAGTGAAAGGAGAAATTTACCTTACTGTTAACCGAACGCGACGACAAGCAATGTGGGTTAGCGACCAACTCGCCGATTAGCCCACGACAATATCAAAAAAAATTAAAATACAGTATCTGAGGTGGAGTTGACTGACCACTTGAAAATTTATCATATATATATATATAATTGACCAAGAAATCCAAATCTTGGGTACTAATAAAATCAAATAATTTAATAATAGTTTATCTCCTTTTTCATCATTTTATCTTGTTTTATTTCTTATTTCTTATTTATGCTTGTGATGATAATAATTTTTAAATTTAGTAAAAAGTATTACTGTACAGATACACATTTTTTTTTAAATAATAAATGAAAAAGTTGATTTTTTATCATGATAGAAAATAAGATATAAGTTCATTTTTTATATTGATTTATTTATTTATCAAAGAAATTGGCAAAAATTCAAAAAGTTATGCAGTAATAAATTGAATTAAAAAATAAAATCGGTTTCCTTACATGCTGCACGATTTTATTCATTTAGCGCGTTAGTTATCCTATATGAGACACTAAGATCGCGATAATATCATATATACCGAGTAACTATTTTTTCTAGTTCTTTATTGAAAATTAAAAAAAGGAAAAGGCATAGTTAAAACGTAAATGGGTAAAGGGGCATAAACGAAATATTATAACCAAAGTTGTTTAACATAACGTAAAAAAAAGGGTTTCTTAACTGTGGGCTTGAACATAAAAAAAAAAACTCTTATTTAGTTTAAAATTTAAAATGCACCGAAAGAAACAATCATAAAAACTGAATAAGAAATTGAAAAAAAAAAAAAATCATTAAATGAGCAGAGCATAAGAGATTTCGAACGTGCCAAATAAACGTGAGTGAACGAGAAAAAAGGAATTCATATTTAAAATAGTTGATAGAAGGTATAAAATCAAAATTCATATTAACAAGCTCAATAACAATCAATCGCATAACCATTTATTCAACATTTCTTTAAGTTGCGACATCTTCAGCGGTTTTGTCATAAAGTCATTCATCCCTGATTCAAGACATTTTTCTTTCGAACCCTCAATGGCTGAAGCCGTTAGTGCGATAATTGGTACTTGTGATATTGGAGATTCCATTTCTCTTATGGCTTTTGAAGCTTCATATCCTGACATCACTGGCTACACCAGACGAATTAAGGTGCCAAAATAGGTCAAGAATAAATTGAGCTGTGCCCATAAACAAAACGAGAATGTCAAAAAAGAGTTTGGTCACTCACCATTGCGCAATCCATCAAGACCAAAGAAATTTTTTCACGACAGTCGGAAGGTAAATTAGGTGAGGATGAAGATGGATCTCCTTCATTTGAGTGATTTACAAAATTGTTTATTAAATTTACGGCTTCCTGCCCGTTTGTTGCAGACAATGATCGATATCCAAGTTTTGTGAGTTGATGTTGTATAACTTTTAGGTTGATGGGATTATCTTCCTTTTGTGCAGTATTTAGTTGAAGATAAGACATTAACAGTTATAACGAGAAGGATGTATGTGCACAATGTTTGAGAAAAACTTACTACACATAGTACACATTTTGATTTTGAAGTGGGACGCGTTCTTGATTTCGACGTGTGATCATCTTCACTGGAAATCTCATCAGCCCCAGAAGACATTCTTTTTAAAGTTGGTCGTTTGAGTGTCTCAGTTCTCTCTTGATTTGATTCTCCATTATTTATTTCTCCTATACCCTTTAGCTTATCGGTATTTTCATTACTTTTTAAGGATAAATCTTTGCTTCTGTTTATGTGTGCTGAAGGCCTATTATGATGATAATACTTTTCCACTTTTAAATCCGTCAAGGATTTAACGACATTGAAATCATAAACTTCATTGGTCATTGATTTATTGTTGTATAAGCATTCTAATACTCGGTTTTGCATTATTGGTTTGTATATTGTGGTGATTTGGCCTCCAACTTCATTCATTATTTCCCTCCCGAGTGTACGTCCTCTGACTGACCAGAAGACCATTAACACTATGCACAGTCGGTATTCTCCACTTATCCTTTTTAATTCCTTCGTTGCTTTAATAACATCTTCGACATTTCCTTCAACAATGTTGAAAAATACAAGATCATATACTTCATTACGTTGCTCCTTCCACATTTCCGCAGACGCGACACCCTTTTCAGCAGTGTCAAATGCGTCAACTCGTTTAACGTGATCCTCAATAAATTCAACTAAAGTGTTACGAGTCGTGTTTACGGGATCAATCACTAGAATGCGTTCGGATCGCAAGGTTGAAGAAAGTGATAAGCTGGGTTGAATATTTGCATTTGGTTGTGTTTGCAACAACTCGACATTCCAGGTGAACCAAAATCGACTTCCCTTTCTCAATTCACTTGTGACTCCCAATTCACCTCCGTTTATGGTTACCAAATGCCGGCAAATTGAAAGGCCCAGCCCCGTACCATCATGACGTCTCGTCATTGATGAATCTGCTTGTGCAAAACTTTCCCATATGTGTTTAATAAACTTGGAATCTATTCTGAAATGATATGAGCAACAATTAGAGTGTTACAATATTTAATAACACACCAATAATTTGCTTGTAGTTAGAGTAATAGATATCTCTAATCCTATAATTACCCAATGCCAGTGTCAATTATTTCCACGAATAATGTGTCTTTCTCAACAATATTTTCTTCTATCGCTGACTTATTTGACGAAGCCATTGAGATCCGGAGAACCACCTCACCAGTCTCTGTAAACTTTACGCTTTAAATAAATGATTACAAGCATTTAAGATCAACAATCTTTTTACAGACAAATAATGATTTCAACAAATGTAAACTCACGAATTAGACAATAAATTTATCAAGACCTGTTGTAATCTGATTGAAAAATCTTGTCAACCCTTATATTTCATAAAATAAGCAGTTACATGTGTTGACGTTGTTAATTACCTGTCGGGATCTGACTTCACATATTTTGGCAAGGTCTTGTGATCGTAGCGTAAAACCAATTCAATTTGTTTATTGCCTGCCTTCTCTCCAAGTATATAGAGGGTCTCTTCGACCACCTGAAGTAGGTCAAAAGTTCTATTTAAGAGCGTGATTTTCTGCGCTTCAAGTTTTGCCGCATCAAGAATATTATTGACCACAGATAGAACAACGTCGGATGCACGTGTCATTATATGAACCATTTCTTTCTGATCCTTAGTTAGCGGAGTATCTTCAAATGCTGATAATACACCAATGATTGCTCCTAACGGTGTTCGGAGCTCTGTCAATTATCGTGGAACAGATTTGGGAAATTTCATTAGTTAAAGAAAGTCAAATAAACTTTAGGA